ACAACACTTGATGATCATATTGATGATGATCAGATCATCAAGAACGTTAAAGTCAACTTTTCATTTTTGAGATATTCACCTGGAGTTTGAAGCTCGGGATATTCCCCTATTTGTAATTTGTAATATTAATTTCGTCAGTTTAATAAAGTATAAGTTCATTTCATCTCTGAAGTTTCTTTCGTACGTAGAAGTTTGATTCTTGTGCTTGAAGTTAGAGGGCACCTTACAAGAGTTTATACTTTCATTTCAACCCAAAATCGAATTACCCAAAATTGGCTCATGGGGGGTTGGGTTACTTCTACAAAGGAACTTTGTTTTTGGAAATGGGAATTCCTTTATACACCAATTTGATGGCTCACGGGTGTTCTTTGCACGAAAAGAGAAAATAGAATTACACAATGAAGTGTAAGGGACACCGTGAATATCACAGGGAGCCATTGTCACACTAGTTTAATTGCCACCTTGCTCTTCTAGTGGTTTTGATTGTGGGAGTGTACTCAATTATTGGTAAGAAAAGTGAGGCAGGGGTCATGTACTGTGCTGTACTATGTATATATATGGGTTGAATACTTAAGGCAAATGATGGTGTGTTTACTAATCATGAAATGGAATTCTCATCAGGAACTTCCACTTATGGAAGATTCATGCGTCTACGATCATATCAATGAATTAAAAAGTAAGTGGAGCCCATACAAAATTAGGAATTGAATTCCTGATTTTGGAGGAATTCAATTCTTGGGTGGGATGTGATATTCTAATTCCTGGAGAACTAACCCATTAGAAATTCATCTTTTTTACCCATTATCTCCTCACACAATTTTAAAATTTTAAAATTTGCCATCTACTTTAACCCAACAGTGATGACATTTTTGTAATTAGTACCACTCATACCCCAATTCCATATGGTTTAGTAAACAACTTCAATAGGAATCCGGAATCTAATTCTCCTAAATCCAACTCATCCTCAATTCAATTCATCCTCAATTCAATTCATGCTAATCTAATTACGGATTAGTAAACATGCCATGAAATTATTCCCACAACAGCTGATATTCTAAAACTGGTTCCATATTCGCATCGATCACATTATCGATGGAATGATACATAGCAGCAGACTAATTCCTAAGCAGCCAGACTATTTCCTACAACGTGCCTCTTATTAGACAAGTTGAAAACGCAACTTGAAATGATGCAAGTTGCAATAATATATGAACTTGTACTTTTAATAGTAGTCGACGAAACCAAATACCACGTTCTAACAACATACCAGTTAAGATTTTAGGCTCCCCGATTATCTTTGTTTCTGTTATACTAGTTCATCAGCTGTATTTTATATCAATCTATTACCTTCAATTCCATCGACCTTTTCTAGGACACTAACATAGCCAGACTAATTCCCAAAGCACGTGTTTCTTATTAGACAAAATGAAAAAGCGATTTGAAATTATACAAATTGCAATACTATACATAAAACTTGTACTTTGTCGCCGAAACCGTGCATATATATACCGTTTGCTTTTAGTACAAGAGTGAAGGGGAGGGGGATTAACTTACACAAATATTCATTGAGTGTTTGGAGGATTTTGAATCTTTGCCTACATAAATGAAGGTAGAAGACCTCAATCAACGGATTTATATACCTTGTGTGTGTGTGTGTGTGTGTGTGTGTGTGTGTGTGTGTGTGTGTGTGTGTGTTATACTAGTTCATGACATGGAGTATGAATATTTGCAATGCAGCCTGCCACATGTTATAAAAAGAAATGTAGTAAGTTAGACAATAATTCCACATATCCTATGTTTATTAGATGGTACACCAGTCACATGATGTACCTGGAACATATAAAAATTTCTCCATGACATGAGCTTTATTTTATGTCCTATATGTGATATTACCTCCATCTTTTCCAGGACACTACGTATCTCCATTTTTTCCTAAGACGGTTCATTATTTCCTTAGTATGAAACATTAAGTTTGACCAGAAACATTATGCTTGGAATTAGGTATTATTTAGGTATTTAGTTTATCAATATTTATTCGAGATTAGCTAATCTTCCGCCAGTCACTCCCATATAGACAGACTAGTTTAAATAAATACTATATACTAACTAAGAATTAGTCTCTTATTTGAATATTCATCTTCCCGGCCATCGTCTCGAACATCAAAGACTTAGTCGAAGACTCCAAGTCATGTATTTGATATGGAAGACTTTGCTAAATCTCAAACGCATGTTACGATCGTTAATGTAAAAGGTAGGCTCGTTTATAAACATATAAATACCCCTCAAAGTATGAGGGTTTTGCACAACACATATCCAAAACCGAAAAAAGTGTTTCTTTACAATGGCAATGGCATCATCAAAAGCTACAACTCTTTCTCTCTTCACAATCACTACCCTTCTCTTCATCCTCCTTTCTCTCCTCTCCTGTACAAAAGCATCAGAAACCCACAACAAAACATCATCACCATTTGAGTTCCTTGACCATCTCAAGGGGTGTCACAAGGGTGACAAAGTTCAAGGCATCCAAGACCTCAAAAAATACCTCGAAAGGTTTGGTTACTTGAATGGCGATATCAACAACGATGACTTTGACGACCAGTTGGAGGCGGCCATCAAAACCTACCAAATCAATTACCACCTCAAGGCCACGGGAACATTGGATACAAAAACCATATCGAAAATGATGATGCCTCGATGTGGCGTGCCAGATATCATCAATGGCACCACCGCTATGCGATCAGGCAAAAAAAGGCACCCTCACCACCACGGGGGGCACACAGTTGCTCATTATGCTTTCTTCCAAGGAAGCCCAAAATGGCCTGCCAATAAGTATCACCTCACCTATGGTTTTGCTCGAGGCACCCCGGCTAATGCCGTGGGCGCAGTTACACGTGCTTTCGCAACATGGGCAGGCAACACACACTTCTCTTTCAGTCGGGCTAAAAGCGTTGACAGCGCTGATCTGAAGATCAGTTTTGGAAGTGGTGAACATGGAGATGGACGACCGTTTGATGGGCCAGGTGGGGTCCTAGCCCATGCTTATGCGCCAACAAATGGGAGATTTCACTACGATGCTGATGAGACGTGGGTTGTGGGTGCTGTGCCTGGGGGAATGGATTTGGAGACTGTGGCTTTGCATGAAATTGGTCATCTTCTAGGGCTTGAGCATAGCTCTGTCGAAGGAGCTGTCATGTTACCTGGAATCCGCGCTGGATTTACCCAGAGTTTGCATGCGGATGATATTCAAGGAATTAAAGCTTTATACAACACTTGATTATCATCTTGATGATGCTTGGATCAGATCAGATCAGATCATCAATAATGTTAAAGTAGACATTTTACTTTTTCTTTGGTTCATCCAAATTCAACTTTTCATTCTTGTTTTCCCTTTATCAAATAAGGTATCTCACCTGGAGTTTGAAGCTGGGGATATTCCCCTATTTGTAATTTCTAACATTGATTTCATCAGTATAATAAATTATAAGTTTTTATTTTTATTTTTTATGAAGAAATTATATGTTCATTTCATGTCTCAAGTTTCTTTCGTACGTATAAATTAGTATTATTGTATTTTAATTAGAGGGCAACTTATAAGAGGTTATATACTTTCAAGTCATGAATACGAAAAAGTGAAATAAAGGTCAGTTCGATTTAGCTATTCATCCATTTCATCATATGTAATCTCTTTGCAAATCCAATCGCAACTGTTCATGACTCAATTGGACAAAATCATTTAAAATCAGTTTAAATCGTTTAATTGAAGTTTATTAAGTGTCATTCTTAAATTTCAGTTACAAGCAAATTGGCTTAACTAATGCAACTATATATCGTTTTCCACAAACTAACAAAATGACAAGTAATGGTTCCTCAATCTTTGATTTGATTGAGTTTGTTAGAGTTTTATTATTGATTTTAATAGAGTTTATAGCACTCAAAAAACAAAGGGTTTAGAAGTGATAATCATTATGCCAAAAAAGGCCTTTAGCAATGGATAAAATATGTTGCCTATTCTCCCAAAATACCGTGGTATTCAAGCCTGTTGCCTATTACTATGTAATAGGCAACGGATATTATTCGTGGCCTTTTTATACTTACAACATTGGATATTTAGTAAACTCCGATGCGTAAAGGATTTCCGTGTGCAAAAAAAACATTGACTTTTGACGCCTAAACCTAAAACAGCATCAATGATTTTAAAAGGGAGGCTAAAAAGGTTTTACAGCATCAGTGATATATCCTATATTGATGCGTATTATCAATTACAACATCGCAGAAACAAATAGTGCTGTTGCAAATTATGTTATACGTCATTGCTTTTTCTATTTTGAGGACGTGAAAAACACCCAATAGCGTTGGTTGTTATGTAAATGCATGATGCTACTTATAATTTTAGGCATCAGTGATCATAGATGTCTGATTGTTGTTTTAATCTTTTAACTTTAGTTATTTTTGCAAAACTGAAGTTGTTATAAACAATAGGCATCACTTATGTAAGAAAAGTGTAGGCATTTTTCATGTTCCACGTCACACTTTACTTGGTTACTGTCTTAGAATATCAAAAAGACATCATTTCTAAATCATGTTGTGTTGCCATTGCTCATTAAAAAAAAACATATATATACATATATAAACAGTAATTTAAATATATCCATACTTGTCTATATATACATAAGCAAAATACTTGAAAGATCCATACTTATCACATCCAAATCACAATTTTTCCAACCTCACACCACAATTATTCATACTTGTCTATATATATGCAAAATACTAGCTAGAAAGACATGAAAAATGAAGGAGGAATGTTTAATTCAATCAAAAAGCTATTATAGGACATGAGTTGCCAATTCTTCTCGCACCTCATCCAATTCCATTTGGGCGTACGTGTCCTTTCGTCTAGTTCTATACTGAAAAAAAAAAAAAAAAAAAAGGGGCATGTAAAATGTAAACACAAATAGCAGAAATATGAACATAAAGCTTTAAAAGCGCAAGGTACTAAATTTGCATAAGATATGTTAATCTCTCAAGATACATGATTATAGACCTTAACGAATTCCCATGGGCAGCAACCAGCACGTTCTTTCCAGATTGTAGTTTTGGTTCAATCTACGATGCAATTTCTACTTGTCAGGTTCTTACACATTAAGAAGAGTCAAGAACAAAGTAACACACACTCAGCTTCTAATGGGAATTCCATGTGAATATTAGATAATAGAAGAACTGATCTGCTTACATGTTCTTTAAAGTAGGCTACAGCTCTTTGTGAACACATTTCCAAGCTCTCACCGCTTGGAGGAGGAATATCATAACTCCGACGCCACTCATGCACTTGCTCCTTTCCATATCTTTCAGCTGTCTCTAGCTTATTAAGACCCTGTAATTCACCACACCTATAGAAGACAACAGCTAGTAATGCTATCTACTCAATGTAAAACGATGTGCAGGTAAAAGAACAAAGCACATAGAAAAGTACATTCTTTCGTTCAATTGCCAAACAGTTACAACTGGAATTGATTGCTTCTTAGTATCTCCACTGCAAATTTGACTCCATTAACCAATACGCACATTAGCTTAGTCAGCAAACTTGTGTGCATTTGTGAGAATTTATACCTTCCATATGCCAAAAACAGACCAAAAAAAAAACACAAATATTCCTTATCCTGTCAATATCTGAACACGTAAGGATGAACTGGATTGGACCCTATACTGTGGGTCGGATCAGCCCCCATACCCCTGGTTAGGCCCATAGGTCAATTAATCATTGGAGCCAACAATTACAGTCACCATGAGAACATGGACTTAGGACATGACTGGCGATATTTAATCCAGAAAGATCTACTAACCTCTTGCTGCTGTTACTTGGGATTTAATGAAATGCCCTTTATTTCTAAACCACTCTGCAATAAATGGGACTCCCAAATATAATGCTTTCTTCCCTAGCTCTTTTGCTGACTTTCTGGCATATATGTAGCCAATTGTATTCAGCATATCAACACCTGTAAGCTGTAGAAAACAGACCATATCACTGAAATTTATATACAAAAGCTTAGGAAATAATCATAGAAACAGCTCCATCAGATATTAATCACATTAGCACATCGTAAAATCAGTTCCTACATCTTGAGCAATGAACTACTGCTCAACAATTTTTTAACCTTCAAAAGGCAATGAACTGTTGGGCATAGTTTGGATGATAGTCCCCATTAAACGTGTCACAGCATAATATTCTATTGAAATTGGATGCAGTTATTTCACTTTACAGGAATACCATCCATGATGAAATCATAAAATGAGTAGCTAAATAACAAGCCAACAAAATTTCTTTTTCCTCAATTAGTTAAAAGGCACCAAGTACTGACAGACAAATCTTATAAGACATGAATCAAATTGGCATGTAAGTGCAGATAGATAAGCAGAATTGTTTTTCTTGCTTGGACAATCTATAATGAGAAGGGAAGGTAGTAGATCCAGCAACAAATAACACTCTCAAACCAATTGAGGACGACAAATTTCTATTACTAACATGTGAGACAATTCAAATACCACGAGATTTGCTCCAAGTTCTCTATGTTTCTCTATTGAATCTTGTCCACCAAAAAATGCATACCTGTTTATCTGCACATGCACACAAATTCTTTATTTTGTTAATCCTGAAGAACTTTTGGACCATTTGGACTGTGTGATTTCAGGCAGAAAAATTTGGCACTGTGAAACTACGGTTTGGTGGTGTGGGAAAGCTAAGACAAGAGTAGATGATGGTTTCGGAAAAGGAAGACAGCTATTTGAAGAAATAGAGAAGCATGTTTTTCACTGAGAGTTTAAAAGGTTACAATTTGAAACCTTGCATCAATTAAAGACTTTGACCCTAGAATAAGAGAACATCGATAATGATTGTGCAAGAGTCTCAGTAAATAGAAAGGTTGTACAAATAAACCCACAGCAACAGCAAACGTAAACCTTGTTCTTAATTTCCTTTGCAGAATCAGTTACATAAGGGGCAGAATTTGGATCACTGGGTTAGTGAGGATAAATAAACAAAACAGTACGGGCATTTTCTCTTGCAGCGTTTTGGGATCGAACTGCTCCCCTTCTGAGAAAATATCTAGTGAAGCCATTGATGCCATGGCTAGCTGGCCAATATGTTCCTCAAAAAGCTCACTACCAAAAAGCACAGCGAAGATTGCTGCAGGATCAATAATTGAGTCGCTGAAAGAAAGGGAACCATTCAAAAAATGTCAGAAACACGCAACTATGTGTTAAGCTAACACACACATACACTGTGACAAATGCAGGCAACCTATGAGGTGCGTGTCAGACATCTTTCAATCTTAGAATTCATAAAATTCACAGATTAAGAGCATGAAACTAACGTTGAGATCCCTGATTTTCCAAAAGCATCGTATGCTTAAGACTTGGTAAGCTTCTCCCAAAACCTGAATCCAATTAATCAACACAGTTGGTAAGCCTCTACCAGAACAACAAAAGAAACCATCTTTGCGAAAAAGTGTTAGCGAACCCAGTTAATCAAGTAACATCAAGAACTTCTAGGTTCTAATGTGCAAGTCAATGGCAGCAAATATCAAGTCTTGATGTTAGAAATACATTGTAGTTGACATAATTGATAATTTGATGACCAGTAAATAGTTTTACATGAAAATTCTGTGCTGCAAGAGGATCATTTGGGTTTTTATCTGGATGAACCTGCCTTGCCCGCAAGCAACACAAAATTTTTAATTAAATTAAAATTTGCATATTTGTTAATGCAGCAAGTGTTCATATGCAAAATGATTCATAAAAGAGAATATGGATGGATCTACTATGATTATTGTAGAATCAATTGAGGAACAAGCAACTGAAATAAGCATCAAAATTCTAATCATCCCTAATCAAATTTAGGGCTAACAATTCTCTCTCAGCTTCTGTGAACAATCAAACTAGAAAGACGAAGAGGCAAGTGAAGATTACCTTCATGTAATAAGATTTCTTGATCTCGGCCTCGGTAGCCGTTGGGCTCACTCCAAGAACATCGTAATACTCTGTCTCCTTCAGAACTTATTCCCAAGAAGTGAACAGAAGTCTTCAAACATATGTATATATATACACACTTGAGAAAGAAAAACAAAATTGCTGAACATCGAACCCCCATATAAAGGAAATGAAAATTTTATATATATATAGACAAATTCCCATCATCCCATCACTAGCACAAAACTGAAATGGTAGACAAGAAACCCCTCAAATATTACTCTGTGTCGAGGACAAAGATTGGTTGTTTGAAGCAGAACAGGTTCAAGGTGACTTAACCTGCATGGTGCTCATTGACAGTTTGGCAGCATCTACAGGGACGTAAGTCCATGCCAATATCTTTGTTAGTGGAGGAGTCAGGGGTACTGCCCCAAGAGTTGTGCATACCGTCATTACAATAGACAGAGGAACATCCCCTTGAGCAATTAAGGTCACCTGAAAGGCTATTTCATACAAAGCATTGAATGGAGTTGGCTAGGCGGGCGCTAGGCGGGCTAGGCGGTCTAGGCGGTCTAGGCGGGCGCTAGGCGGGCTAGGCGGTCTAGGCGGGCGCTGAACACACAGAGAGAGAGAGAGAGAGAGAGAGAGAGAGAGAGTGGGTTAAGAAAGGAATGTCACTTTTCTTAGAGCATCTACAATAGACTTTTTAAACCACCTCCTTAGACAAATTTTAGGGAGAAATTAGAAGGCCATACGATTTATAAAAAAAAAAACCATTCTATTTGCATTAGTTTATACTTTATAGATATTAATTTGCTAGTTTCGATATATATATATACTTTATAGATTTAAATTTTTGAATATATATTATTTTTATTGAATAGTATGTGAAAATTGGGTGTATAATATGTGAATATTATGTGTATTATTGAAAATTTTGTAAAACATTAAGTTATTAAACATGAAAAATACATACCTACGTGTAAAATACGAGTATTAAATATGAAAATGCTAAATTTTTTATACGGCTAATAATTTTGGAAAAGTAAAAACTCAAAATGGTACAATAAAGACTCGTGTAAAAGCCTAATAATAATGGAAAAAGATAATAGTATACTCTAAATCTCGAGTATAGCCGCTCGGCTATACTATTAGCTCAAAACTAAGCACCACAAGATGTGAGTAAAATAGGAAGTGTGTGACCTCAAACGACATTGTTTTATACTATTAGTTAACAATATCTTCGCATAAAAAATAAAATACAAATTTATAAATAAACCAAATCCTAGACATGTATTTATAAAAAAACCCAAGCACTATTTAAACATAGAAACACACCCAAAATCAACTCCAAAGTCAACTTTTTGGGTGTGTTTATAAATGAGTTTTTAGTGTGTGTAATGATGGGTTTTGGGTGTGTTTATATGTTTAAATAGTGTTCGGGTTTTTTTATAATTTCAACCCCTATTTTGGGTGTTTTAGTGAAACTCCCAAAATAAAACAGGGAATCTGAACTCCATAAGTATGCCAGGAAACTTAGAAAAGGCTTTTACTGTCACTTAACATCAACTGTAAGAGACTTAATGGAGCCAAAAGGATACATATCTCCAAGGACACGCCGATTGCTGCTGCCCATTGTATTCATACTCACAGCAAATATTGCCGAGTTAGGGAAAACTTCGAAAGGGTGCTATATTTGTCACTTAACCTCCACTGTATGAGTCTCCTTAGAGTCAGAAGGATCTACACATATCTCCAAAAGAAAGAAGTGGCCAAAACCACACCCAAAGAAGAATTTTGCATACCAACCTACGAGTGTCAAACATGTAAATGAAGGATTAGAGTTGCATGCCCACCAAAATTTATGAAAGTTTCGACATTTCAATATGAGCATAAAACAATGAAGATCTTCCATGGACTTACAATAAAGTTCTAAGAAGAGAATTTTTATATCTTTATTACCAATTTGACCAAAGCCGAAACAAAACTGGAACACAAGGATTCACAGAAAGCTAGATCATGTCGTAAGGTTTACATTCTATTTGATTAATACCTCAATTGATATTGCTTGTCTTTGTGCTTCTCTAAACCCGCAAACAGCTGCTGATATATACCTGCAAATTAAGACTTTCCTTGATCAAAAAAGACTCCTCAAGTTGCACATTTGCAATGCAAAAACTCCAAAACGAACTAAACAAACATGCCCACAACCTTAAAGAATATTTGTATGAGTGCAAACTCTGCCAACAATGCTCGTATACAAAACTAGTTTCTGTCTTCATATGTCAAATTAAAATCCACATAGACAGAGAAGATTGAATATATACTTTCTTACTACAAAAGCTTTTATGGCTATGAAGTCATTATGACAGCAAACTATAGTTTCTCAACTGTTGCTTACAAATTATGAATACTTTCTTTTTTCAAATTATAGTGAACTTCACTCAATAATTTATATATCAAATTTGACAGAAGCTAAATCAAATAGCAATAATACACTAATGCAAGGCTACAAAGCAATTTTTTCAGAATTTTTGAGCTAAAATTAGAGTGAATCTTTACGTACTGAAAACAATGTATACATTACCTTCATGAGCTTTTTCCACAACAACACACCTAACAATTAAAGTCACCAACAGTTAAAGGCAACTTACCCCACAAAGAAACCAGCAATATGTACTAACAGCACAGAAAGAATAACCACCCCAACTTCTCCAGATAACACTGTCTCAGCATGAGCCATTAGAGACAGATCAGCCGGCAATGTTACAGCAACCATCGAAGCTTTGAGAAGGACAACATTCTCAGAGAATACACTGGCCCACAAAATAAAATCTAGTATGTTTGAGAAAAAGAGCAAATTTGGAAGGAACCACAGGCAAGACAATCATATTCTACATATAAGTAATTAAAAAGATATTTATATGCACAACAAATGTACCTGCATGCAAGCAGTGATGCAGCTAGCTAGAACAGCAAAAAGTGGTGCAAAAGGTATCACAATTTTAACCACTGCAGGAAATGCGCTCTGCATATAAGAACCTATCAAAATTGGAGCAACAACGACCTACAGATGACAGAATAGAGACAATAAGCCCCAGCTGATGGATAATATAATATTACTGAAGTTTCTTACATTAA